TTTGAACACATCCTTGCGTGTCTCCTGATAATAATCCTCCTAGCTAGTCTGGGCCTGCTCATGTAATTAGAGACAACAAAGTGAAGCTCTTATTACAAGGTGCAGGAGTTGTACTTTGCATTTTGTTCCTACCACAGCTTGATTCAGCGCTGGGTTTTTAAGGGAGAAGAAAGCAGTTCCTCTTCAGTATGATATAAGTTTTCTCTTATTTCCTTTGTTTATTAGCAGAAAATAAGGCAGACTTTTCAAATCATGTTGCAAACAGTTGATGTGTGAACAGATAAACAGTAAAGGGTTTCTAGGGATCTTGGTTTATTTTTACTCCCTGATTTTATTTATTTATTTTAAAAGAATTGAACAAATGTATTTTTCCAGTATCAGAAATCACATATTCTAAATGTTTTTACCTTCTGTAGGAAATAAACATAATTAGTGACAAATAATTATGACAGAGCTCAAAGTAGATCCCTTGTGCATTACAGAAACAGAAAAGGTTTGCCTTTATTTCTGTGGAAATGAATGCTAAAGTATTTAGCCTCATGAAACTGAGCGTGATTATGCAGGTCCTGTCATGCTCCTACTCTTACAAGAATCCTGCTGATCAAGTCTAAAAATAGTCACAACAAACTGAGCTCAGTTTGGCCTGTTTCTGTATGTTTTTCACCAGGCACTGCAGCACTAAAGGGTTAAAGATATACATTTAATATTCCCTTATACAAATCTTTAGATATTATTTTAGAAAGTCTGGTCAAGTTTTTCATTCTGACCTTTTTCTTTATATCTGATATTAAAACATAAAATCTGTTTCATAATAGTCATGTTTTTTTCCATGATATGGAAAAGGAGAAAACACAGTGTACATGAGTTTGATTTCAAATACCAAAAATGAGGCTAAATGCTCTCTTCTGGATCTTCAGCTCATTGTTGTAGGCAGGAGTTGTATGAAAAGCACAACACTAATGTAATTTAATCCTGTAAAACACACCTAATGGTAAACTGATGGCAAAGACACTGTCTTTAATGACATTGTGTCATAAAAAAATTAAAATATAACTTGCACAGCACATGGCTGTTAATTCAGAACAAGTTCAACTCCAGTCATCCCAAACATACGTGCTTCTGTCTTTTACATTTGAGAAAGTGACATTTAAAAGAACAGATTGCCATCTTGCCACTTGTCATTTATAATTCAAAGAAAGAATCTAAAGATAATTTATGACCTGAACAATGTGATCAGACTAGTTTTAATCAGTGGGATTTTCTTTGTTTGTCTTCTTGTAAATTCAGTTCCCAGAAGAGGAACCACATAGTTCCTGTTAGTTATCCGGGGGGTGGGGTACTCACTCTAAATGGCCTGACTGGGCCTGTCCCTGTCAGCACAGCAGAGAAAATAAAATTAAATGAAGGGCCTTATTCAGTGGATGTTTTGTGTTTTGAAGTGTTTTGCACCTCCCGCTCCACAGTCTGAATCAGATGTCATAGCTCCCTTTGGAACTGAGTCACATGAAAAGTCCCGCTGATCACATTTTCCTCCTGCAGCATGACTGTCAAATATTCCCTTTAGATCAAAAAATAAAAATATTCATTACACTAGCTATCATGTACAACAAGTAGGCCTGCAGAGCGAGAGCAAAGTGCTCTAATAGGGTGATATCTTAATGACCTTGTAGTACCATAAGATGGGGCCTGATTATTTAAGACCTTGTATGTGAGGAGCAGGATTTTGAATTCAATTCTGGATTTAACAGGAAGCCAATGAAGGGAAGCCAAAACAGGAGAAATATGCTCTCTCTTTCTAGTCCAGGACTCAGAAACTCCTGAGTAGATATCACATGCTCTATGTTTCATAGGTTAGCACCTTGGGACTGATTAACTTTACTTTTATCATCCTCTATATATCTATCTTAATCTCCATGTGGGATTCCTCCCTCCTGTACACATATAAAAGATGTAAAAGCTGTCATCAAAATATATCAGTATAGTATTCTTGACCCTTAGAAGCAGAGCAGATATTTTTAAAAAGGCGGCACCAGGGCACCAAACAGGCTAGGAGCGCCACTGCTCAGGAGGATGCAGCCCATGAATTTGGACACCCCTAAGGTGTCACAGTTTGATGCTTATCCCATGCTCAGGTCGATGAGATCCTGGATCGGTAAGGAAAAGCTCGTTTTTTCATGATCTTGGATTTAACCAAGGGCTACTGGCAGAGTCCTAAATGGACAAACATCCTTCTCCACTTAATATAGTTTTTACCAATTTGTCCTCCTGCCACCTTCCAATACCTCATTGAGGATTTTGCATCGTCGACAGTGACACCTGGGAAGCGCAAGTGCAGCAAGTGGCCTTGTTTCTGGAGTCCCTGCAGCATGCAGGGCTCACAGTCAACCTGAAGAAGTGTGCAGCAGGCAATGCCAGATGGCTCCACAGGTGTCAGGGATGTTGTTCCACACAGCTAACCTCCATCATCAAATCTTGAGTAGCTACCAGCCCCCGGAGGAAAGAGCTGTGAGTTGTGTGCCGAGGAGAAATAGTCAGCTCAAAAGCTGTACAAGCAGACTGTGTGTTAGACACACATTTAGTAAACATTGAATAATTAAAACCAGTTCATCATTCAAATCTTTACAAATCTCTCCCTGAGACTCTGAATGTCAAAAATGGGATCCGGTCGCTTTTATCAGTCATGTGTTTCCAGTTTGAACCGGTTCTTTTCTTTCCTGTAATTTGTCTCTCTGTGTTTTATGAGAAGCAGACTGTTCCTCTTAAAGTCATCATGTGGTCAGAACACAGCTGCTGATGAAAGACTTGAAATATACTTAAAATGCAAAGAGCAGAGCTGAATGTAATAACTGGATCACATGCGTTACAGCTGGAGGTAACTGACATTGTGATATCTGTGGGACTCATTTACTCAGTAACTCAATGAGAGTTCTAGGCTGCCTCATGTAGGTCAGCTTTTCTGTGACATTTGAGTCACATTTGGCCCACACAACTCATTTTAGCCTTCCTCTGCTGTCTCATATTCCCAATGTGAGACTCAGAAAGATGAAACAGAAACATTGCTGTGGAATTTCTGTGGTTAATACAGAGACTGTGCGACTAAGAATTAAAGCTGTCTTTCAGTCTGTGTTCAGGGCCGGGCTCTGCCAGGGGAACAGATGACATGTCTGTGTTTGAAACTGTTTTGCAGTGTGGTTTCAACACCTCCCCCACACCATAGAAACAGCAGAGTGCTCCCTTCTACACAGAGCACAGAAACTTCCTCTTTAACCCTCTCGAGGCAGGCGTTGCCGATTTGCAACAGTTAAAAACGAACAACCTGATTACCCCACATACATATTGTATGAGTTTTTTTTACTCAGAAATACCACTGCAGGACTTGGTTGTGCATTAGCAACAAAAACTTAATTTGAGCCTGAGAGGGTTAACAGGACTGTGCAGGACAGTTAGATGAACTTTATAAAAACCACTTTAAACTAAAATAATTTTTACATCTTTATAGTGTTTTTTCTTTAACTCAACACACAAAACAGGGTTAAAGTATCACACTTTTAGTATTGTGCAGTATGCGACCCAAGCAGACTCAGTCTGTCTATATGTTGCATCTACGTGGTATTAACACCACACTGTCACGCCTAACAGAAACATCAACAGCATGTTGCAAGTGTGCATTAGATTCATCTGCTGTAAGGTTCCCTCTAAAACTACCTCCGTCCTGCACAAACAACTGAAGTATGTGGGTGGGGTATAAGTACTTCCCTGTGGAGCTCAGCTGAACTCAGTTTTGGGAGTTGAAATCAAGAGAAAAATGTTTAATTTAAAACATAAACACTTCCCTTTTACTGCCATAATGGAAGTATTTTTGTTTCTCTCATACCAAACCAAAAAAGGAGTGAACAGCACACAATGCCTCTAATGTCTGTCCTCTGACTCATATGGAAAGTGTAGTGTCTCATTTCCCTGGGAAATTTCCCAGCCATGATGACTGCCTGCATGTGCTTGTTTTATCTGTCATCGTCCTCTATCAAATTCAAATCAAATTCAAATTCAAATTTTATTTGTCACACACACAACTATACACATTATGACATGGGGGTGAAATGCTTGTAGCTGTACAATGCCCGACCATTAAATGACAGAAGAAAAGTTTTACAATATTTACAATTTACAGTTTACTACAAAATTTACAAATTAACTTAGGAATTTACAGTAAAGAATGTGCAAATAGCAGAAGAGATTATAAAGATTATAAAGATTATAAATTATAGGAATTATAGGATTATAGGAAATGTGTGGTGATGTGTGTGAGAGTCCAGTCTTATAGTGATGTAATGTGTGTGGGAGAGTCCAGTCCTACACCTGGTTCAGGCCCCGAATAGCCTGGGGGAAGAAGCCCCTCCTCATTCTCTCTGTTTTGGCCTTAAGGGAGCGGAAGCGCTTCCCAGACCTCAACAGTGAGAAGAGTCCATTGTTGGGATGGGAGAGGTCCATCATAATCTTCCTAGCTTTGGTCTTGCACCGCTTGGTGTA